ATTGAATATCCTCCTACTAAAGTACAATTTTCTCCAGATACTTCTACAGGTGCTAAAGATCTTCTTGTTGTTGGAGGATTAAAACCACAATTATTTGAGATTCAAGGAAATAAAATGGTAAATGTTGCTGTATTAGGTGCTTCAAATGATTCATTATCACCATGTACTTCATTAGATTGGAACACTGTCAATAAAGATAGATTAGGAACTTGTTCTTTAGATACTACAGTTACTGTATGGTCAGTTGAAACTCATCAACCAATAAAAAAATTAATTGCACATGATAAAGAAGTTTATGACATTTCATTTGCATCTAATCCTGATTTATTTGGAACAGTTGGAGGAGATGGTTCATTGAGAATGTTTGATTTACGTTCATTAGAACATTCAACTATTTTGTATGAGTCTCAAGGTCTTGTTCCTTTGTTAAGATTAGCTTGGAATCATTTTGATCCTAATTTCATTGCTACATTCTCTTCTGATTCAAATAAGGTTATTGTCATTGATGCAAGAAAACCAGCTGTTCCATACACTGAACTTGCTTTGCATCAAAGTAATGTTAATGCTATTTGTTGGAGTCCACATAGTAGCACTCATATTTGTAGTGCATCAACAGATAGAAAAGCATTAATTTGGGATTTGTATCCTATAGAAACATTAAATGATCCAGTTGCAATCCAATATGAAGCATTATCACCAGTCAATGATATCTCATGGTGTGGAACTAATTCTGATCTCATTTGTATGTCAGTTGGAAATCAAATTCTAGCGGTCCGAATTTAATCATTTTTTTTGTTATATATTTCATTTTAATGGAAACATTAATAGATAAGAACTTTAAAAAGAATCAGATGAACAAAAAAATTAAAAAATACTTTTTTTGTTTAACAATCCAAGAAAGAACTAAAAATTCAGAAAGAATTCAAAAAAAGTTTGAAAGTGATGAATTTGTTTTCATTATTTTATGTGATTTGTTAAAAAAGTTATTAGAATTCAATTAATTTTATTTTAGTGAGTAATAGAAGAGCTTACGCTACGATGGGTAATGGTTTCCAACAAACGAACAATTTTTCACAGTCCCCTTCTTGGCCAGGAACTAATTCAACAATCATTTCAGGTCCTAACGGTCCAACAACAATCAACCCACCACTTACTTCAGTTCCCTATGGCCAACAACAGACTCAGCAAAGAGCAGTAATAAATAACAATGTGGTACTTCCCCCAGTTATTGGGTCTGTTCAACAACAACCACCACATGATCAAACTAAATCTATTCCACAACAACTACCACACGACCAGACATTATTACAACAGAATATTGTTCCAACTCAATACTCCAATCAGCCAGTACAACGACCACAAATTAATCAACCCGCCCCTCAAGAAAAGCCAAGTGTAGACCAAAGCTCTATGCCAGCACCTACTATTATCAGTTCACAACCAACAGCATATAATAATCTCGTTACTCCTCCATCAACACTTCAGCCATTTACTTGTGCTGTTAGTAATAAATCATCACCAAAAAATATTAGGATGAGTGTTTTTACACCAGCTTTTCAAGGTAAAATGATGAAATTACTTGATATTCCGTTGTCGTGTGAAGTTACACCATTTGCTAAAATGTTTGAAGGAGAAAAATTAGAAAGTGTAAAAGTTGAACCAAAGAATATTAAAAGATGTCCAAGATGTGGTGGATATGTCAATCCATTTTGTAATTTTGAGGAAGGGGGAAAAAAGATGAAATGTAATTTATGTGAATACTTATCAGATGTAGACGATAATTATTTCTCACCTCTCAGAGGAGATGGAAAACGAGAAGACACAGAACGTAGAATTGAATTAATGTATGGAACAAATGAGTATGAGTTAGAAGGAAAAGATCCAGTTTATATTAATAAAAGCTGTGGTAAACCAATGAAATTTATTTTCCTTATTGATGTATCAAAAGACTCTTTAACAAGAGTGTTTGATTCTGTTATGAATGTTCTTCAAAATGCTCTTCAAAGTGTCCCAGAACTTGTTAAAACATTAGAATGTGGATTTGTTACTTTTTCTAATTATATTCAATATTGGGTCCTTGGAAGTACTCCACGTATGATTAAAGTTTGTGATATAACTGAACCATTTGTACCATTAGCACCAAAGAATTTCTTTAAACCAATTTCTGAAGTGATTGAAATGATTCCAATGTTAAAACAATATATCATGAAAAATATTACTGAGGGTGTTATTAATGATAATTGTTTAGTTAGTGCTATTGAAAGTGCCGCTCAAATGATTGGAACAACTGGTAAGATCCTTGCATTTACAACATCTCAACCAAATGAAGGAACTGCAGCAATTATCAGAAAAGCAAGTGATATTAGTTCTAATCCACAAACACCAGCTAATCAATATATTAATCAAATGGCAAAGAAATTAAGTTTAAATTGTATTGGAGTAGATTTGTTTGTTCTTACAAATAAATTCAGTGATATTGTAACTATTGGAGAAATTCCACGATATACAGGAGGAGAGTTATTTTATTATCCAAATTATAACATTCAAAACCAAATTAAATTAACTAAAGACGTGTTATCATCTTTTGATACTGATTGTGGGTTTGACGTTGAAGTAAGAGTTAGATCATCTGCTGGTGTATTTATCCAAGATTATTTAGGAGATATAGTGCCATGCAAAGATATGATTGATACTGTAAGAATTGGATATATGAACAGTAAAAAGAGTATTATTGCATTAATGGATTATGATGATGAACTTAATAATTTTGTTGGATTCTTTATTCAAGCAGTAGTTTTATATACAGATATCTTTGGTCAAAAGAAAATTAAAATCTTTAATGGATTTTATAGTACTGCAACAGAATTAGCTGAAGTTTTTAAGAAAGCAGATTCAGATGTTATTCTTAATACTTTAATAAGACAATCTATCAAAGCTGGTAATTTCTCATCAGATACTGGTTTAAATATAGAATTACTTGAAAAAACAATATCAATTCTTACTGCCTATAGAAAACATTGTAGTGCTCATGCTAAATCATCTATTCTTTTACTTCCAGAGGCCTTAAAATTAATACCTATATTTGTTCTTGGTGCAATGAAAACTTCAGCATTTATGCCATTTTTCCAATTAAATTCTATGTCTAGTGGATATGGAATTGATGGAATTATTAGTGATTTGAAATTTGCTTCAATCTATCAAACTACTTCTATTTCTATAGGATCATTACTAAGGCAATACTATTATAATGTCTATGATGTTACTGGCCATTTAAGTGGAATAGTAACTTCTGATAATTTCTCAGACGATTCATTTAAAGTTCGTTTGTCTGAGAAAAATTTTGCTGAAGATAAGGTTTATCTTATGGATACTGGAAAGGATTATAAACTTCTTGTTGGAAAGAATGTTTCTGACGAAATTAAAACTAGTTTATTTGGTCAACCAATTGACTTAATAAATAATAAACAAGACTTCACATCTTTAGTTTATTCAAATGCCTTGTCTCAACCTGATAATTTGTTGACCAAATTGGTTTATTGGCTTGCTGGAATGACTTTCACTCCAATGGTAGTCCTTGAAGTAATTCCATTCAACAAAACGGATTTATCTCCTTTTATGCTTGAAGACAAAACAATGAAAGGCGTTGCATATTTTGATTTGCTTGTGTACTACCACAAAAAAATTCAAAAAAAATTAGCAGATTAACTTCAAGTGATCTATTTTAAAACAATTTTGCTTTACTATTTTTTAAAGAAATCTTAGAAATAGTAAGGTTTAAAAGAAAGAATATAAATGAATAATTTCAAATGATATATTTAAGATATAATGATCTTTGTATTTAAGAAATATTTTAACATCAAACCAATCATTGAAAATAACACTAAGAATGAAAAATGATGAAGGTATAAGAATTACATAAATAAATAATAACAAAATATAAACATTTAAATAAATGATAATTATAATAAACAAATAATGAACTGCGAGAAAATGAGTAGAAGAAATGATAAGAGATGATATAATTAAAAGAAAAAAATAAGAAGAACAATTAATTATTGATTACAGATTGTTAGTTATAACTCTTCTCCATAAAACACAGAAATTCTCTCATTTATTTCTTGTTTCTTTTTTAATGATATTTGCTATTTCATCACATAAAATAAGATTTCTTTATTCAATAAATAATGCATCATGTCTTCATCCAAATAATGGAATTCTCCTTTAATTTCATTTCTATTAACTTGTTTATCAAATAAAATGATATAATCAATATTCTTTACAATAATATACTCTTTCTATTTATTCTAAAACATGTTATTCCGCATTCTTCTATTGTTAATAATAAATACTCATATATTTTATGATCAAGAATACCATCATTGATTGATTTTTGTATAATTATTTCATTGTTTGTATCTATTATATTAAATGCTTTCTTTTTTTCTATCATTTGTAATGAATTTTCCATTGGTATCATGTTGAATAACACAAATTATATCAATAAGATACTCTTCATCAAATGAATATTCTCTTAATGATGTTGATTTAATTACTTCGTATTGTTCAGGTGATATTTTTCCTTTCTTATTAACAACATTTTCTATCATTCTAAATATTATTTCATCTCTCTTTTCTGAAAATTCTGTATTTTCAATTAACTCATCTAAATTAATTCTAGTATTATTAATGAAGTTATCAATGATATTCTCATGTGATGTATTGAAATATTCATTTAATATTGTTTTGAAACTCTCATTCATTTTGATTTGTTGATTAAATTCATATAAAAAATCATCAACTTTTATTTGTGGAAATTGTTTGCTAATCAAATTCCCTCTAAGAATAATTTCTAATTCTTTTGGTTCACTGTTTAATAGAATTTGTGTGAATTTAGTTTTACCTGATGATGATGAAATATCAATATTCATCCAATGTAAAATATCTGGTAATGGAATTCTGAAATATGATAAATGTGTGATGATTGATGGTAATTGAAATACACTATTCTCATGACATTTTTGATATGAAAGAAATTTAGATAAAGTAGGAATATAAGGAATAAATTCAGGATTAACATCAACATCAATGTAATATTCATTGTTAATAATATTTGTTCGTAGAATAACAAATTTATTATTAAATTGATATAATTCATATTTTTGTGTATCAATTTTAATTTGGTTGATTCTTTGAATGAATGAAATATTAATTGTTTTATATTTTGTGTCAATTGAATTAATGAAATGAGTTGATTGTCTCATAGTATTTGTGTTTCTAACATTCATATCTTATAATTTATATTCTTTTCATGTTTTAATGATTTTAATTGAATTGTTAATTCATCATAACATAAGAACAACATAATCATTCAACATAAATTGTGAATAGATATGAATCATCAAATGGAAATATTATTATAATGTTAATTGATGATACATTAGTTGTATTTGGTGGTAAGAAATCATATATTTATAATATCATAACTTCTAATACTATATTATTTGAAAATAAAACAAGAATCAATTGAAAAAGTTAAATGAAAAGAACACCACAAAGAATTAATATTCACACTATCTAAATTATCACTAAAATGTCCAATTCATGTAATTGATTATCAACTTAATATTCATTCTACATTAATAATTTATAATTCTCTTCTTGCTGATCAGATTAATTCAAAATGTACAACATTTCATTTTAATTATATGATTGATTATAAGTCATCAACAATAAATATTTAACATATTAAATTATTAGAGGAATAAGTATTATTTAATTTTAAA